AAGCAGACAGGGGACTTGACATAACGTCAACATAGGCCGACCTGGGAGTGAGGATGTGTTGCCAAACACCAAACAGATCATTGCAGCATTACCCATAATCCCCTCTGTTTCAGCCCTGTTTCCAAAGTGCTGATTCTCTGTCTGTTACTTTAGATGAAAATAAGGAGCCCCTCCCCCACGCCCCTTTTATTGTTTTTGTCTCACAACACAGCGTTTTACATTTGTGTTTTGTAATGCTTATTTACTCATGTTCAACAATATAAAATAACACATATTTCAGGGGCTTTAACAAAAGGAGTAAAGGTAGACAAAGTGAAGTAAAGTTATAAGAGAAGAGAAGAGACGGAGTTAAAAAATGGCTGCGCCTAAATGTTTCAGACTGCAGCTGCATGTGTATAGATCATTACTGACATCTAGTGGGCTACTGCTGGAATAGATCTAAACAACCTGGTCAATTGCAGAATAACAAATCAATCAAAGTGTATTTATATAGCCCGATATCACACATTTTACATTTGTCTCAGGGGGCTTTACAGTTTGTACAGAATGAATACGACACCTTACTATAAAATATAGACTTTTTGCAGTTCTTTTTATTTTGTATTTTATTATATATGTTGCATTGTTGGAGGAGCTCAGGTCAGAAGAATTTCATTGCCATTTCTACACTCACTGTAGCTTTGTGCATATGACAATAAAACCTTTGAACGCTCTGTCCTTAGACCCTCACATCAGACAGGGAAAGACTCTCAAAGAAACCCCCCAGTTAATGGAGAATCATGGAAGAAACCTCAAGGAGATCAACAGAGGAAGCATCCCTCTCTCAGGAAGGACTGACAATAGATGTCGTGTGTAAATTAAAAAGACATACATTTACAACAGAGGTAGTCCAAATGCATGTGTGTGTACATAAGAAGATAATGAATCCAGGTAGATGTCAACAATCCTGTGGGTGCCATCAAAGAAGTGAGCAATGACTCACAACAACTGTTATTGTTTACAGTGATAAATAAAAACTGTGTCTTTATTTCACTGAACTTTATTTTTCTTTTCCTTTACAATGACAGGAGCATTTTTCTTAAACAACGGCGTACAATACAAACATTGTGTTTCTCTTCAGAGATGCATCGATCACATTCACTCCCACTGACATCCACTGTGTGTGTATGTGTGTGTGTGGTGTGTGTGTGTGTGTGTGTGTGTGTGTGTGTGTGTGTGTGTGTGTGTGTGTGGTGTGTTGTGTGTGTGTGTGTGTGTGTGTGTGTGTGTGTGTGTGTGTGTGTGTGTGTGTGTGTGGTGTGTGTGTGTGTGTGTGTGTTGCCACCAGTTTACAGTGAGGATAAACGTGATCAATGTCACAGAAAACTTGCATATTGAAAATCTAAACTACAGATTTCCACCTGAGAACAAACAGAACACCTATGGAAGCCTATGAGGGCCTTTTTCAATAATGATGTAAACCTCGCTTCATGTCAATCCAATCTTGTTTTTTAAAACATTTTTGCAAGTTAAAGGTAGGGTAGGTAAGAATGGAGAAACCAGCTCGAGTGCGCTAGAATTTGAAAGTACGCAGCCGAAACAAATCTGCCCCTTCCTTCAGACTTCCTTACAGAGCCCCTCCTCCAACACACACGAACGCGCACATGACCAATGAGGGCACAAGATAAGTTTGTGCACAGATGGAAGGCTGACAGGCAGGTAGGCCATCCAGTTACTTTAGCCGGGCCGGCTCAGATGATTGGTCGTGCTTTTTACAGCGCCACGGCTTCCACAGATGAAATGTTTGTATATATTTATTGTCAAAGCATTTAATATATTCATTGCTATCGGGATGTTAAGAGCATTCCATGGAATATAACAACAAGTGTTTCTGAAGTGAATTACCTACCCAACCTTTAATGTTCAAGTAAAAGCAAAAAAATATATGTTCTAACAATTGGAAATAAATACCCAAATTACATTATAAAATATTTACCTGCCATGCATTGGAAAGTTTTAGTATTGTACATACATTTTGAAAATGTGAAATCCAATATAAACACTTTAATGTTATTTGCTTCAATGTAAGCATTATTCAAAACACAATTAAAATCTAAATGCAATTTTTCTAATCATTTAAAAATAAAAACAGAACTTGACATTTTTCTTTTTTTAAGATGAAACCTGCTTAACAGTGGACAATTTAAATTGGAAATTGTAATTCAATTCAAACAATGCAACCTGATTTTCCATGTATGCAAGCAATATTAAAGTCACATTTCAAAATGTTTTTGCGTTTTGAATTCTGATCTTCATTTCACTTGTCTGCTTTACAGTGGACAATATTCAAATGCAATAAGCTAAACAGCGCCCCCTGTCTACTGCATTTACCATTACAATATTACCTTGTGGTGTCAAAATGAAAATGCTGTCATTTCTTTCACCAAGATGGGTTTTCAGGTAGGAAATAGGAATCGTCTTCCCGGTTCGACTTTCTTTTTAAATTGTACAGTTTACATTTGAATAAAGTACCCTACGGGCTTCCATAACGTTCACATTCTTAGATTTGTCAAAGCACAGAAAGTAAAACAACTCTAAGGAGGACAGAACATGTATTGCTGTTTTCAGACACAAAGTGTGAGCAGGAAGTGAAATCTTTAAATGATTGTGTGGTAACAAAATTAAAACATAAGTAGGCGGTGATGAAGCACAGACAAACACTTCTTCAGTTCAGGTACACAAATCACAGCTTTCCTACAAAGAGTGGTTCAGGGTCTCTCAGGAGTATGAAGTGATCTTGGGAATAAGAAAAACTCAAATATGTGTTAAGTCATTATCATGCTGTTGCATCCACTGCCATTTATGAAGCATACAAATCTGTACACATCAATACAACTGTGCTTTTGTACAAAGATAAAGGGAAAACCACCTCAAAAACTGAATTCACATGTGCAGTTTTAACGTTTCGGATAGTTATTAAACAATGAAATGTGGGACAATACTTGTAGTTTGCCGGTCAAATGATAACTAAACTTGGACCTGTATACCTTTGTATGAAATAGAACAGATAGGCGACAAATCAATCCTGGATAAATGTGTATTAAACAAGCTTAATGGGAATGATATGCTCAGTCACTGGATCTTTCTGGAGCTTTTGGCAAGCGATGTGTCGATCTGGTTTACCACAGCTGTGTGAAACCAAAATAAACACATTTGTAAAGGTTTTATTTCCACAAACTAGTCAAAAGGATGCCAGATTAACTACATCATGATGCCAATTCGTAAAAAGTCTGAAGTTAAACGTTGTCGGGTCATTACATGAGACGACAAGCAACTTTTAAAATGTGTGTTTTCTGAATGGAGTTTGGAACAATCAGGGCTATGCTAAAATGGTAGCTGGTCCATCATCATGTCATCTTAAAAAGGAATTAAAACAGCCGCAATCTTGCTGTTTATACGCAAAGATAACTACATACTTGGTTTCTTTAAAATAGGATGTAAACGTGAAGCATTTAAGATGGTAATGACCTCAATATTATTAGTAGCTTCCCCCTTCATTTCTGATTTATCAACATCAGGCCCTTAACACTGATTGGTTTAGCGTCACTTGCTTGGGCTGAAAACATTTAAACTTGTATATGTGCAAATACTGCAGATGTGTTTAATTACCATCACGTTATTGTGTCTTTTGGGGAACCAGGAGCTAATTTATTGCGTCCATCGCGTTTTAAGATTGACTTTATATGTAATTGCGCCACGGGAATAAAAAACATTCAGGTTTTCTCAGCCCAGTGTTGAAATCTGAATTTAATTTGTCACCCATCTGTATATGTAAGGGAAGTTTCATCTGTGCATACTCTCCTCATATCCTTGAAAACGCTCCAACGACTTGTTCCATTATCCACTGTCTCCAGATGACCTCACCACTACAGACTGTCTCTCTGCTGTTTAGCTTAAGCAGAAAACTGTCTGAAGTTCATGCTATAAATGTGAATTCAATATTTGGCAAGGACTTTCCCCTTAAAGACCACACAAAGCTTTTCAAGCTTCCAGTTTGTTCATCATAGCTACTATTTCACAACATTTGGTGGATCTGACATGCTGGTAAAATTCATGTTATACATGAGGATCATCAGAAAGGCATATGGCTCTACCAGTACAGCTCCTCCATCTTACACATCTCCTCTTTTCATGTGCTTTTTGCACCCTTTACCGACAGACATCTTCCAATCTGCTCTAGTTTTTCTATTTCAACGATTAATAGAGTGATGCAGGATTGAGTCCTAACACCCGGAAATAAGTCAGCATTTTAGCACTTGAGGTTCCCGTGTCTCGGAGTTACGTTATTTTAAGCTGTTAGATGCCTGAAATAAGGTCAGTGGTTAACACAAGCTGAAGAGATTTTAACGTTTTGTTCTACGACATTAAACACGTCAGTAGTTACCCGACTGGTGAATTCAAAAACTGCGATTGTTAAGTGTCTAAATGAGACGACTTAACGTCATCACGCCCAACATTAGCCACCTTTAGCTTAGCGGTGGTGACGTGAAGTCATGTGACCGTGCTGTAGTTCCTTTATAGCCTAACATTCGTTTTTTACTTCTGCATTTACGGAGCAAAAATCATAAAGTGGTGTTAATATGTGGAGATGTGGAGAACGTGGAGAACATGTGTTTGCCAAAGGTCCTAGTTTCTGCACCATTCCACAATCCAATGGAAACATCCCATTGCTTTTTGTTTAGGGAGCTTGTGTGCTTTAATTGTTGTTTTACTTTTATGTATGGACCACGACACCTAGTCAAATTCCTCGTAAGTGTAAACCTACCTGTTTCTGATTCTGATTCTGATTGCAATGCTTACTTCCAGGTCTGCCTACAAAAATACGTCATCACTGCAGCACTCTATTGAACACACAAATGTATATCTTCCAGAGCTTTCAAAGAACTAACTAAACAACGAACATTTTTGAACTCATAACACTTGTATCTGACTGTGTTACAGCATGCAAGCTTCAAACAAGGTGTGTAATCACTTGAAAAAAGCTGCCATTGCTTTATTTTCTTTTTTTGTCATTGCAAATGTGAAAAGCTGTCACCTTTGTGGCCCCTGGCTTTGGAGCTGGGGCCAGCGTCCGGAGAGGAGGGGGACACGGGGACATCGAAGGAAGGGTTGGCCATTTGCAAAGCCGCTCGTTTGTTTTTCTTTGACCGAGTCTTAGTGTGGCGAGGCGTAGATGCCCGGCCTCGGGAGTGATGGACGTGTCGGGCACCGCTGCAACTCGTGGAGATCTCTGGCGAGGGGTCAAAGTTCACAGTGGGGTCAGTGAGAGGTTTCCCCTGAGGACACGAGGTGGAGAGGAGCGGGGGGAGAGTGGCCGACTCCAGCAGACCTTTAGTTCCCTGTGTGCACTGAGGAAACAAGGAAAAAGACAAGAAGTGATGAGACGAGGAAGTGGTGTAACAGCTGGAGTATGAGAAACAGAAAGCTCATTCACAGGCACGTTTCAATTATAAATACATGAGAAGTATAAGATGAGGATAAATAAAAAATAGATCTATTATAAGAAAGTTATTGTAAATATAAAAAATATATATATAAATGTTTATATTAACAGAAGATGTTAAAGTTAAAAGGTTGCAATAAAGTATTGAAATATATATATTTTAAGAAAGTTACTGTTAATATTAATAATATATTCGCCGGAAAGGATAAAAATTAAAAAATATATTTTATTTTCCTACGCTGCGTGAGTTCCCCGACACACCGGGGACACACATTTATGAATAAAAGAGATCAAAAAGTGCATGATAGGTCCCCTTTAAAGTAAAAATGGACAAAAAGGATCAAATAGAATAACATTAGTTAAGGTTAACCTACACAATAAAGGATCAAATTAAATAGAATACAAATTGCAATATATAAACCTAGGAAGAAGTAAAAATGTTATGATTTTTGGGAAACAAGGAAAAAGACAAGTGATGAGATAACAGCTGGAGGAAGCACACTCACAAGCAAGCTGCCATGCAAGCAGATGTTTCATGAACTCACAGTTCTTTCTGAGGCTCATTAGAACTAGCCACTCATATTAGACTTGGTCATCATATTGGACAAAACTGCTCCACCAATTAAAGAGTCTGCTGAATGGTTGTAGCTCAGCCCTTTGACAAACTAGCTACCATAGGCTTTCATACTGTAGAGCTTTCGGATGTTGACGCACATCAGAACTAGGGAATCATATTTGATTTGACATCTCGGACAACACTGCTCCATCAAATAAAGAATCTGCTCAAAGTTTGTGGGTCAACAAGATGAGAAGCTCTATAACTGAAGCTACTATAGGCAGGTGTTTCATGCCATTAATCTCTCTGATGTTGATGCAGCACATCAGAAGTAGGAAAATAATATCTACACATCAGAGCATTGTGAATACCATAGAGTGTTCCATAGAGCATGCACTGTATTGTTTTAAATGATGCATTCGACAGTGTGTATAACATGGCAGCAGTGTGAGTAAAGCCGTGCAGGATTCAGCCGGCAGACAGCAGGGTGCTCAGACTCTGCGCTCTCTCTCTCTCTGAAAAGGCTTTTCCTGCTCTAACAGAGGCTGCTCAGCCAGCGCAGGACACCGCAAAGTCCAGACACTCCTTTTTGATTTATTATTGATCAGATGTATTGATTGGAGGAAAGGTTGGAGGTGAAAGGTGATCCGACACCCCCCCCACACACACACATTCAAGTGCATTTTAACAGCATTACATTCACAAAATAAGTATTGCAGGGGGACATTCAGAGTGATATGTGAAATTTGAGTATTATACCATTCTCATCGACTGCCCATTCAATCACAGTGACATAACAGCCCATGTGTGTGTGTGTGTGTGTGTTTACAAAGAAGCGTGCCGGTGCTTTGTTCCCAGAAGCCCCCCCATGTTCCGCAGGAGCCGGTGGGCTTTTCCATTTCGACGGAGACTTTCAGAGAGAACACACACACACACACACACACACACACACACACACACACACACACACACACACACACACACACACACACACACACACACACACACACACACACACACACACACACACACACACACACACACACACACACACACACACACACACACACACACACACACACACACACAACACACACACCACACACACACACACACACACACACACACACACACACACACACACACACACACACACACACACACACACCACACACACACACACACACACACACACACACACACACACACACACACACACACACACACACACACACACACACACACACACCACACACACACACACACACACACACACACACACACACACACACACACACACAGTAGTTAAAAAATTTATACAAACTTCCCTATATTGTGGAGGGGTTTTCATCTTTGGAGCAATGTTGATTAAACCTTGAGTTGTAAAGCCAAGTGTATTTTTTCTCGTAATTTTTTACATTAAAATGTTGCAGAATGTTCAAGTGTTTCGCTTCTAAATCTAGATTTTTTTTTGTAAATCTAGCACTTCAATTTCAGAAAATATTTCAATTTATTCTCCAGAATGTATGACTTAACATCGGACAATATTACATCTTTAAATGTGAGTTTTTTGTCATTAATCTAGCACGTTAATTCTTAAGAATATCCACGTTCAACTTAAGTCTAGGAATTTACAAAAGTTTCCCCTTCCTTGTCTAATCTCTTTTTCACCTACAATGGACTCAACACGTCGTCGTTGAAATCTTGAGGGTGGACAGACGATGAAATGAGTGACACAGATGATGAAATGCATGGATATACAAATGCATGTTTTATTATTATTTTACATGTCAGAAACTTACAAAATAGATGTATAAAAACAAGATGGACAAATCAAACAAAAACAGTGAAATGAAGACATGAAGGAAAGTATGAAATGATTTGGCACTTTGACTTTATATGCAAACAAGTAACATGTTAAATTAAAATATAAAACAGCTCACAGCTTCACCATGATGTCAACTTAAGACAATTGTTCACTCCCACAAAACACTTTGAGTCTACTCCGTACACACAAATCTGTACAACCCTTTACAGCCGACTCTTTTCCACTTGATATGAGAGCACTGAACCGCAGATGTAAACATACATTTCTATACAACTCTCCGCACACTTCATATCACTAACTTTCAGAAAAACAACCAGAGAGGGAAGAGGACACAGCCTCAGAGTCTTAATACAACTCCTCGTCCCTCTTAAAACACCCCACATACTGCACATGACAAGATACTGAGGTGGAGATTTGTGATACAAAAGGTAACCACTAGTCATATAAAAATATAGTGAACAGTATCCCTGTTGCTCAATTCAAAACTATTGTGTTCATTTCCATGAGGTATATATTAGCTGCCTGAAGCAGGTGTGTAAACTCATCACAATAACAAGGCAACACAACTCTACATTGAAATTTAAAGGAATGGTTTTGTTGGATTATTGCTTTTCTTTTTACCCGAGAGCAAGACGCTCAATCGCTCATGCCCGTTTGCTAAATATGAAGCTACAGCCAGCAGCTGGTTAGCTTAGCATAGCACAAACACTTGACATAAGAGACAAGTTAACCTGGGTTTAACTAAGAGGGAAATATTAGATTACCGCTACCGTCACTTCTCAATGTTGTGGTCAAAGTGACTTTAGCCCATACTGAAAAAAGATTGCAAAAAAAATCGAGTTCTGATCTTAGAGTTACATGTTAAGGCTTTAAGAGGTGATGGGTGCAGCACAACATTGCCCATTAAAAAGTAAGATCAAATGCCTGACTCCTGGTCCCGACTCCAATGCTGAAAAGTTGAAATCATTAGAAATAGCACTCAGTCCTGCAAAACGTATTCTAGTAAGACCAGTAGCTAGGCGTATGTTAGCAAACCTACGAGGGCATACAGCTGCATCAATGACATATCTGAATCAGTTTAACTGTACTCGTGCTACTTCTACCCTTTTTTCCATTTCCCCATTACAACAAATGAATAACTGCTGCTCAGCCAAAGCTAACAGGCTAGCTTTCACACACAGACATTAGATGGATATTGATCTCACTCTCTGAAAAGTGACTCCTTAAAGTGACAGATTCCAGTGTTTGGCATACATGAAAGAAGCAAACAGTATACTTTATTTACCAAATCTATGAGCACTTGATTCATTTTAGCTTAGTCTTAACCCCTGCTTTTCAATTTCATTCTAGCTATTATAAATCATGCCAGCGTTCACCGAATTTCACCCTATTTTTGCAGTGAGTAACGTCATAAATACTGGTTGAACTAATACAGTGTATGCAGGGATTAGCCCTTCAACAACAGGCAGCGGACAGATGTTGAGCTACAGCAGGCAACAAGGCTCCCGTCAGGCAGAGGAGGAGTTATTTTGGGAGGAGGGGGGGTGCAGGGGAGGGGGGGGGCAGCTGTGAGGATCCTCCTACCACGTTTATCTCGCTCTTATTGGCCAGATCGGGCAGCTCGATGTCAGCGCCGGCCGTCTGCACAGATTCATCCGCCGGCAGGAAGCCCCGCCTGTCGATCAGGCTGAGAAACAATAAAGATTTCAATCAGCAGGCGCGCTTTTAGTCTCAATATCTACAACTTTAGAAATACATGTTTCTGGAGAAGCAGCGTTCAGTTATTATGCTCCAAATATCTGGAGCAAACTCCCAGAAACCTGCAGGTCCGCTGCGACTCTGACTACTTTTAAATCCAGGCTGAAGACTTTTCTTTTTGCCGCTGCTTTTAATTGATATATTCACATCTTAAACTGCACTGTAACTTTTATTCATGTATTTTTTTTAATGTTTATTTTATTATCTTTGCTTTTTAATGTCTGTTTTTAAATGCAATTTTCTGAATGTCTTTCATTTTTGTAAAGCACTGAATTGCCTTGCCTTCTGTCACATCCTATTGGCAAGCACATTTTCTTTAAGTAAAACAAGACACTGGGATGGAGATTAGGGTTGCACCATTTGGGAAAAAAAAGTATTTGTAATTATTTTTGACTCGTACTGATTGCGATATGATTTGCAATATACAAGGGAATGATCATTTGTTAAACATTATTCGAATTTACAGTGATATAGAAATAATAAAGAGGCCCTCTTATGCTATTTAGGGTTTTCTCTTTCCCACAGTGTGTTCTATAGGAGTGTGTGCGTGTAAATGGTCTACAAAGGCTTATATTCCAAAAAGTCAGTCTTATTTTTTTTAAGAGCATCTGTACCAAACAAGGTTTTTTTTTTTTTTTTTTAAATTGGTTCTGCAGAATTCAGATTTTTTTTTCCACATATTTTACTTTTTTCAAATGTTGCACTTGCAATTTCAATATTTCACTTCTCCATTTTGCAATTTCTTTAACCCTTATGTTGTGTTGGGGTCTCCCGTGACCCGTTTCAAGTTAAAATGATATAATAACTACGCTCTAGTTTTTTTTTAGTTTTTTTTTTTTTTAATCGGAACAAGGCTTCATGATATCCTCCACAACAGCTATATAAACACTACAAAACTGATTTTGACCATTTTTGCCAAGTCTGAAGGTCTCTTAAAAAACAAAGTATATAATTTGGTGTTCGGGTCAGAATTGTTTTGGGTGACTCGGGGTCAAATTTGGCCCAATCAAGATTCATCTTTGACTTTAGACGCCCCTCCCCCCCCCCCCTTCATCAACTGTAACAATAATTGTTCGCAACATGCACCTGGTCTCCCCTCCCTCTGCCCCCCGCCCCCCCCCCCCCCTCCCCCCACGGGAACTCAACCTTTCTCAAAGAATATGTGCACTAACACTTGAACCTGAACACACACACATGCACGTGTGCAATATGTGGTGTAATGTGTTTTGGGCCATAACATTAAATTACAACAGGATTGTGCGGTTATGAATGCATTATAAGTTAGTTATGATGTAGTTAAAACAAAATTGGATGATAGTCATTATTTGTGTGTGTTTTGGACTGAGATAAATCATGGGTCAAAATTGACCCGCGAACACCATGAACGGTAACAGCTTTCGAACACAACACAAGGGTTAAAGGTTAGAATAATTGTTCAGCCCTAGTGGAGAAGCTAACTAAATGTAATATTTATTGTTAATGTCAGGGATTTCAAATTAAAGAGTCAAGGCTTAGAGCTCGACAGAAGATGTTCCAACAACAACTGATTTGTCAGGGAATAATTCTGTATACATGTTTACCTTTTGCCCTCTGACGCAGATGCCCAACCTTGGGCCGCCGCTATCTCCCTTAAGGACGGGCTGCCCTAGCATGTTGTTGTTGTTGTTACCAGTTTATGACCGGGCAACTGTCGGTCAGATAGTTATTGTTGTGGGACACCTGGAACACATCCTTCTCTGGGTGTAGATGACCCCGAGCCATAAGCGACAACAAATGTGATTCAGTGTCCTCAGCTGTTTAGTCTATCTATTGAAGAATGTTGATTATTTCACTCTGAACTAGTTAAAACCTTGAGCTACAGGAGGGGTCTTCAGGATTGATTGTGGCATCTCAACCTTGTGGCCCGTGACATGTCTTGTGAATTCTCCGGCCGAAGCTCCAAATAAACCGTCAGTGTTTGCCATCAAAGCTCCAGCTCTCCTCGTGTCTCTTTGAGTCCTGACTCCTGTCTCTGCAGAGGTTTTCCCCCGCATGATTCATCATCAAAAATGCCGAATGCTAAATTGATTGTTGGATTTATGAGTCCCTGATTGAAGATGTGGTTTTTGCTCATTCCTAATTATGTACATGCATATGTGTTACTTCAATAAAACCAAGTTCCCACTGACCTGGGGGGCATGGGTCCACAGAGCACAGAGCAGCAGTTCACAAAGATGTTTCTCTGACTGTAAGGGTTGGTCACATCTTCTCCACTCTTCCCCGACCACGAGCCTTTAATCTGGGACACACAGGATGAGAACACCTATTTATTACCAGCTTTATTCAACATCCACGTCATTAGATACTTGGGTTAGTGTCCCAGGTGTTGGGTTGGATTTGGAACTTCTCATTAACCCTGTGAATACTAACAAAAGAGATTCTTCCATTTTCTATAAAAATGCTATATGTTGAGTGTTTAAGAATCTTTCTTGTTTAAAAATAATTCATTTGATTTGTTAAAAACATTTCTAATAAAATCCAATTAATTAAATCTGCTGAGATTTTAAAAGAGTTTGGTTTAGACCAGGAGTGTCAAACTCAAATACACAGTGGGTCAAAATGAAAAAATGGGTACTAGGCGAGGGCCGGACTGGTTCAATGTTTATAGCAGAACTTATTGAAATGAACTTATTGCACATATTAAACCTGGAACCAACTAAGCTTAAATGATTGCCTATAAAAACAACATTAAATAATCAGTTGCATTCATTTCTTATGGCTCTATCTGCAGATTTTCCGGAGTCATTTCTTATGATTACATTTCTCCACAGGCCAACACCAGCGTCAAACAAACTATTTCCCTCAAAGAAAAAAAGTGCAGAAGGAAACTTCCATTAAACTCAGGTTGCTGCTCTGTGATGCTAGTTCAAGCCAGATACTCATCTTGGGTGCAGGTTCATCAATGTTTGGGGTCAGGCTCTGAGCGGAGGAGACCCTCAGGATGGAGTGAAGGTGTGCGTGCAATATACCGGCGGGCCAGATCTAATAGTAATTAGAAATTATCCTGCGGGCGAAATTAAATCCACCACGAGCCTGATTTGGCCCCCGGGCCTTGAGTTTGACACATGTGGTTTAGATAATTGATTTCATGTTTAAAATGTATATTTCTGTGCTTAGTCTGCCCAGTTTATTTGTAAAATATTCGTAAACAAGGCAGCAGTGTCAGTGTATTGTTTGCATGCTTTATTCATTTTAATGACTATTGCAAGTTGTCTAATGCATCTTTCTTGTCTTCAAAGGTTTTTCACTTAAAGACCCGTTAAGCAACCGAATGGACCTTTGGTTTTGAAGTAAACTACTGAAATAAAAGACTGAGAAAGTAACAGTTGCTGTTTCATTGGAGTGGAATCCTGTTAAAAGTCCAGTAGATGTTTCAAGTCCCTTTCAAGTGGGGAAACTGCACCAAAAAACAGAGAGGACTTGACAATTACTGACAGACAGTTAAAGGTAGGGTAGGTAAGAATGGAGAAACCAGCTCGAGTGCGCTAGAATTTGAAAGTACGCAGCCGAAAATATTCTGCCCCTTCCTTCAGACTTCCTTACAGAGCCCCTCCTCCAACACACACGAACGCGCACATGACCAATGAGGGCACGAGATAAGTTTGTGCATAGATGGAAGGCTGACAGGCAGGTAGGCCATCCAGTTACTTTAGCCGGGCCGGCTCAGATGATTGGTCGTGCTTTTTACAGCGCCACGGCTTCCACAGATGAAATATTTGTATATTTATTGTCAAAGCATTTCATGTATTCATTGCTATCGGGATGTTAAGAGCATTCCATGGAATATACACAAAAAGTGTTTCTGAAGTGAATTACCTACCCTACCTTTAACAAAAATAATAATTGATTTTAGGAATATCCCAAACTTTCTTAAGGTTGGCCCACAACAAACCAAAAAAGAAATCCCTTTCAAAGCTTCTCTGTTATTGCAGCGTACTCACGTCCTCATTGGTGGTCAGGTTGGAGGCTACCAGATATGTATGGAAGCCTGAGAGGCCCAAAATGGACCAGACGGAGAAGAAGCAGATGACCAGCTCCACTGCAGTAAGAGGCTGAGTCAAGGAGGTTTGTTAGAGCTGGGAGAAATGTGAATAATACATGTTCACTGAGAGAAACCTTATCAAAGCACATTCATGACTAAAGGATATCTGCCGGGACTCTCCTGCAGAGCGAACACCAGGCCTTTCCCCCCCTGAGCTCCTGGAAGAGAGGAGGAATTACGAGATTAAAATAATTGTAAAATAATAATAAAATTGATTTCTAAGCGCTTTTTCAGGTGCTCAAAGATGCTTTACAGTGGTGATAAAAAGAAAATACAATAAAATATTAAAAGTTCAATTAAAATATTAAAACAGCAACACAACATTAAAATGAAAATAAAATATATGTTTTTGAAGTTTCTCAAGGTTTTTCAAAGTGTGGCATCACCCCTAAAAACATTTAACATCCTCACACAAGTCATTTTGATTAAATGCGTTTGACTTTTATTTAAAGGTCACCTATCATGCTATTTTTAGGCAATAGCATAGGTCTCAGATATATAAAAAACATGTCTATGAAGTGTTTTGCTCAAAATACCAAACATATCACCTATTCTAGCCATGCCTCATATCCCTCTATTTCACTTCCTGTTTCAAAAGTTCTGATTCTGGGTATAAAGCTTTAAAAAACAAAACAATTGATAAATAAAAAAGGAAGGGGCTGAGCTCATGCGGGACCCGGCAGCTACTGTCTAAACTAAATGCTGTCGTGATGAAACGCCATATCATGGATTATCAAGGATTATCTCTGAAACAGTCTGGAGCTCAAAGGCTTTCTCTCTTGCCGGTTATACCACAAGGTGAGTTGCTTTTTACTTCCTGCTTCTTCACACACATGCTCTCCAGTACAGGTTAGCTCTGAGTGTTAGCGATGCTAATGTAAACAACGACCATATTACGTCCAAAACAGTCGGGCATTGTTTCTGATAGTAACGTTTCTGATAGGGCCGTGGGTCCACATTTCAGATATTACGTCATATCGGAAGCAAATCTGGATCAGCTCCGTTGTACCCCCGTTTTTAGAGATTTGGGTACGGAGGAAAAGAGAGAGGGTTTTATTTTCTTTCCCTGACACACCGGGGACACATACTTATGTATAAAAGACGTCAAAAAGTGTATTTTCCATGTCTTTTCTCCAATTATTGTTTGGTATGAAAGTGGTGATGTCTTGATGTATCTCCAAACAAATGCAGATACATATAGATTTTTTTTGTTACAACTTAAAGTTATATAAAAGTGTGGGAAATACAAGGAACTGTGTGCAACAAGTTGGAGAGATAACCAGTTTGTGGTTGCAATCGAAATGCTGTCTTTGAAAAGCTTAACTCTAACACATATAAACCAAATATAAACTTTGTTGAAACATGATATGAATGTTTGAAGCACACGAGTCAATCCTACGCACCAACCACAGAAATGTAATCCTTTTTCTGTTGTGTGTTGCTTTAGTCATTTCTTGAATGAATTTTACCCTGTACATTTAAACTGAGTATCATACAAATCCCTTTATAAATAACATGTACTATTATTACTGAACCGTAAAATACAAATGATATAACTGTAGCCTTTATCAACGGTGCAGAAACAGGAATGAAGCTATTCAGAGCAGCAAATCAAATAACTCTGACTCAATTCCATCAAATAGAAAAAGTTCGTAGTTCCTAAAACTGTTTTGGTTAATCTTCTTGATGTGGGAGCAGTAGCACCAAGGTCACGCTCGAATATTCTAACTCTTGTGTAAACTGGCTGTTGGATGAAATAACATTTGAATACTCTGTGAATGTTTAGTGGGACACAGACACCTTCAAAAACAAAACATTGTACTGTAAAAACTGTATATCTTTCTTATCAGATAGATAGCCAGATAGATAGCCACACACACACACACACACACACACACACACACACACACACACACACACACACACACACACACACACACACACACACACACACACACACACACACACACACACACACACACACACACACACACACCACACACACACACACACACACACACACACACACACAACACACACACACACACACACACACACACACACACACACCACACACACACACACACACACACACACACACACACCCACACACACAACACACACACACACACACACACACACACACACACACACACACACACACACACACACACAGTTTTTAAACCATGAAACACCTGTGAACCGGAGCAAAGAAACACACGTACTCAGAGACAGATGTGTGGTCACGCAGCCGAAAATGAAGGCGGTGTGGAAGGAGAGCGACACGATGAAGGTGTAGAAGAAGCGGTAGTTGCGTTTTCCCACACAGTTCCCCACCCAGGGGCAGTGGTGGTCGAACCGCTCTGAAAAACAAACGCATGTTGATGAAAAGGGATGCACAATGAATTGATGAGTGGGAGAGAAATTCCTCTGGAAGGATAACGGGGATTTTAGCCTTTGAAGACCATTTACATGCACACAAACCTATTTTAAAGGTCCCCTATTATACTGTTTTTCATCAATATGTTATAAGTCTCAGATATATACAAAACATGTCTCTGAAGTGTTTGGCTACAAACACCAAACAGATCATTGCAGCATCCCATAATCCCCTCTGTTTCAGCCCTGTTTCCAAAGTGCTGATTCTCTGTCTGTTACTTTAGATGAAAATAAGGAGCCCCTCCCCACGCCCCTCTGAGAGAGATTTGGTTACAAAGAACACAATGGTGCTCTAGGAGGAGATTCAGGTGATACGGTGTTTCCTGAAACGTTCAGAATCTCTTTACACAGAGGGGACAGTGTGACACATGTTGATGTATAAAAGACATGAAGAAGTGGATTTTGCATAATAGGTGACCTTTAATACAATATGAAAGGTAATTATCGTTTCAATCATAACGTTTTAAAAATAGTCGTTCCCTCCAATATTTGAAATGATAACACGATTGCACCATCAGTCAAATAGTCAATTATTAGTTATTTTATTCCTCGTCAATCATCCCACCCTATCAATGGATCCAGCCTGATCCCCGGCGATGGGATGATGTTCCCTGTGAGGCCTGTATTTATTATTCATGGTGTGTGAATGTCAGCTCACCCACACAGTTGTCACACAGGCTGCAGTGGGAGGTGCGGGGGGGCCGGAACATCTTGCAGGTGAAGCAGTACTTGAGCTTCACCACCTGCTGGTTGATCACCACCTCCTTAGTGCGGGGGGGCGGCCGATAGCTGGTGTTCCCCGTGTTATCTGCACAGGGAGGGACAGAGAGACAATTACATTTATTCACTGATCAAAGGAGAGATTTCTTCTTTTAAAATTCTTTATTTGCGGTGTAAGAAATCAAATCAATTTAAATGGCGTAATTTAAATTAAATAGACTGTTTTAACTTAAAACTGTTTTATTCTGAAAACCGAATGTTCAGAACATGACTTGCAATCAGCGCTAAATGCACTTTAACACAGGGGTATCTCCTCTTGCACTCTACATGTCGTTGCTGCTATATTGTATTACCATGTCATAAATACTTGTGTATGCTGCTCTTGCTCTTTTGCACTTTTTGCATATCATGTATTTTGTTTTTGCTATGTTTGTAAAATGTAAACTCTTAAATGTTTTATGTGAGGGACTGCAGATGGAAATTAGCTCAAAGCTAAACCTGGCACTGCTACGCTTGACACATTCTAATGTGTTAAGTGTTCATTACTGTGCATTGTCCCCGTCAAATAAACGATCAAATGAAATGAAATGAAAAAAATCAAACAAACATTATTTCTTACCCGTAGCGCTATTTATAATCTAATTATTGGATATCTGGATTGTTTCCTGAGTTGCTGAGTCTTGGAGGTATTGGTCATATAGATATAGACTTCTCTCCAATATAATGGAACTATATGGTTTGTGGTGCTCAAAAATAAGTGCATTTAAAGCTCGAAAACGAAAAATGATGACAAGTTTACTTAAAAGTATCCATAGCTTCATTTAGGAACGACAAAAAACGTAACACCACCTGCTTACCGTATCACTGTACTGTTCTTAGATTAGTATCACAGCTCTAGTTTGATTTTGAATATAAAGAAATGCGCCGCTTATTTGAACGTTATATACTTTGATTGTACTTATTGTCCGTCACATTGGATAAAAGAAGCAACTAGATGAAATGTAATGTAATGATTTCCAACATAAAGTGCTTTTTAAATGAACGTGTAATGGCATCAGTGATGAGATTAAGCCTAAGAGAATAAGAAGTCAAACTAAATATCCAAGCTGTTTCTTTAAGATCGCCTGGTAGGTAAAGATGCAAGACTAATGTCAGAGCGTCTGTATTAAAAATATCTGGAGCAGCAGTAATGTGAACATGTTACATCATCGCTGCCTAAACTTTGGTCCTGAGTAGGAAGTAACAAGGTGCACAGAGCCAGCTTTAGACACGGTGGTCAATATATCGAAGTAATCCATATTTAAAGATAAGGTAGTGCTGGCAGGACTTCAAACTGAGAGTGCATATAAGTGATGGACTGAACCCTGGTGGAAAAAGGAAACACTGAGGGACAGAAAATCCTCCGGTCCAAGTTACAGACACATTGATTTCACAAAAAATGCCCTAAAGCTGCCAATGAGACATACGTTACACAGGGTAAATACGTCTTTAATGCGTCAAAGGAATCCTCATCGTTTAAAATAAAATGGCAACAGAAAAACTGATGTCTGTATTCCAGTAAAACAGCTAAAAGAACCAAGTACTTTGCCGTACTTTGTTCCCAGCACTTAGTACCCTCATGGAACTGAAGAGCAGATTGCGTTCACACCGGAATAAGTTCCTAGGGAGGATTAGGCAAATGAAGCCGCTGACATCACTTCTTCTTCTTCTGCTTTGGGTTTACTGGCAGGCCGCAAACCACTTCACGGCGTATACTGCCGCCCAAAGTCCCCGGCCGGAAGTCCCGGAGTTAGGGACTGGCTTCAGTAGAAGCTGCTGGGACTCCCAGCAGCTTCTACTGAAGCCTTCCGAGTAAATCGCCAGAACGCCGACACCTCCTCATCTCCACCGCTCCCATGTTTTTTTTGTGTTGCCATAAATTATTCTCTCTCCGTTGATGCGCTGGGCTAATGCTAATGCTAATAATGCTAATTCCAGCAAATACAATGGCGGCTTAAAAAAACTTTTCCGAGTTTCACGGGGCGTGGTTTGCAATTCGCCCAGCCAATCGAAATTGGAACTTTTTTCTCCCCAGGATTGTCCCACCTCTCTAGCAGGCACTAAAAAGGGGGTAAAAGTTCTCATGAACTAAGTTCTCTTTTTGGTGTGAACGCAACATCCCAGGAACTATCGGAACTAAAAGGGAAAAGCACGGGGAAAAGTACTCCGGTGTGAAAGCGCCTAATGCCTTCATTCTCTACTGTGAGTTATGCTCTGAATATAAACAAACTGTGTGAAAGCTGTGACAAAAATAGTGTTTCATTGAAGTTTGACACACTTTATTGCCACTGAGCAGAGAGTAGTTTATAAAGAAATGAGCAGAGATCAAGCAGTTTGAGTTTAGGTATCACATTGTGCAAATGATGCTCTAAACCTGGGTCATAAACCGGCAGGAAAAACACCTTGCGGGGAAAAGAGAGACTAAAAAGGCTTATTTTTAATGATACTGGACGTAAAACACAAAATAAGGGCTGGTTCTTACATTACTGTCAATCTGCAGATTATTTTCTAGACGGTTTGATACATTTTTTGTCTTTTAAAAAGGTCAGAAAATACTTTAAAAGTCCATCATAGTCTCTTAAGGTCAAAAGTGATGTCTTTAAATGTCTTGTTTTATCAGTTTCACTCATTTAAAAATATGACATAAAACAGAGAGAAGCCGTTTTCTGAGGGCCTGAAAACTGTATTTTCTGCATACTTTCATGAAAAAACACTTAGAACTCAAAATAGTTGGCGATACTTTGCTGCAGATTGATTTTTTGATGCAGCTGTAGTCAGAAGCACTTAAGACAACAATGTTTCTATGACTGGAGTTGGCTCTTACCGATCTGTTTTTCGATGTCTTCTGCCTCATCGGGCGTCGCTCGGGGCAAGATGCCGGGGTCCGTGAAGCTCGTCTGGAGCAACGTGATGACCACAAACACAAAGAGGAAGCCTCCAATCACAGGGATGCAGCTGGTCAGGTGTTTGACCAGGAAGGGACAGCTGTGAGGAGAGGAAGAGAGGGGATGGATTACTAAGACATGACAAACAAAGGATATAAAGAAATCCAAGTCTCATATAACTGAGGCTGCTATAGAGAGGCGAAGTCCCTCCCTTTCCGGTTGAGCTCCATGGGACCTTATTTCGGAAAAAGTATGTATTGAAGTCAATGGAGAGAGAAAGATTATCTTTCGGTCTCGTTTGAATTGTGCCATGAATTACACATATGATGTTTGTCAATTTAAAAGATAATTTTGCAAGTAAAAAAATAGAAATGTGTCGTAAAACTGTGAAGTAACACTTTTTTTTGTGTGAAACGCTCAATGAACTACATCTCCCATCTCGCACCAACACCAAGACGGCCGTCACGTTGGAACATTTCACTTCTTTCTTTCAGAATGAGACGAAAAGTATTAAAAGAGGTGAAAATCACTCCAAGTCTGGGCGTGTTGAGAGCTGTGCACACACACAAGGGGAGTGAGCCGGTTCCTTAAGAGCCAGCATGCGGGACCGGGATTCTGGGATTACATATTTTTCATAGTCTTATATTTCAACAGTTTTACGACAAACTGTCACTTTTTTTACATGGAAATAATTTTCTAAGATTGACAAACATCAAATGTGTAATTCGTGGCACAATTCAAACGGGATCGAAAGATAATCTTTCTCTCTCCATTCACTTCAATACATAATTTTTCCGAAATAAGGTCCAATGGTCTGAAGTAGATGGGCGGGACTTCGTCTCTCTATTTCAAACCCACCAGGGGATCTAGTTTTAATTAACATGCAGTGCCTTTAATCAAAATCTCAGATCCATAGAGACACAGCATACATTTCACTACACTGTGATAACAAACACTTCATGAAGTATGTATTAGCAGTGATGGAAGAAATACTCATTATTTACTTAAGTAAAAAAAGCAATGCTACAGGGTAAAAATACTCAATTACTTAAAATTGCTGCATTCAAAATGTAGTAGTACAAGTTAAAAAGTAGTTGCATCAACATATATATAAAGTGCCAAAAGTAAAAGCACTAATTTTGCAGAATGGGATATTTAAGAACCATATATTTTAGCATAGAGTTTCATTCTATACCAATCGGAAACCTAATAATATATGATAATGTATTCTATTTATAATCTACATGTGCAAAGGGGAGTATAAAGTACCATAATGGGAAAAGACTCAAGTAAAGTACTTACATTTGTTCCTCAAGTACAATACTTGAGGAAATGTACTTAGTTACCTTCCACCACTGTGTATAAGGATATTTTATGAATTAGTAGAACCTGGTTTACAGTTCACCAAAGATCTTATTCATCAGATAACATTTAACTCAACAAAATAATAATGTTCAATGCTAGTATGCTTCATATTGCTTTACTATAGTGGAAGCTGACATGTTTTGGTATTTCCACTGAACTCACAGGGGACGTGACAGAACCGTGGACCTTAAAACAAACCCATACTCACTCAAAAATAAAGAATAATCCACTGGTGATGAGGATGAGGCCCAGGGTGAGGGGCAGCACGCCGCTCTGCCGGGCCACCATGATCCGCCCATCGCAGTAGAACCGGTTCTTTCCGGGGAACACGTGCCACTTCCTCCTGGGTTTCCCCTTCGGCTCCTCTGGTCTGTCACCAACCGGCCCGTGATGAGGGGTCGGGGTCGGGGTCGGGGTTGGAAGTGTCCGGGGATCAATTTGCTGATACTCGCAGTTTTCATGATGTGGAGTAGGGACCCTTTAATACACCAAAAAAGTCATCATCATTTAAAGTCAACTGGAAACAGAGAAACTGATGATGAAATCCCACTGAGAACAATGCCTTTAATCTCAACTGTGAGTTTTGCTGTGAAAATAAATAAAACAGTGTGAAAGCTAGGACAAAAATAGTGTTTAATTGAAGTTTGATGTACTTTAAAGCCACTGAGCAGAGGGTAGTTTATAAAGAAATTAGATTAGGCCGTTTGTTGATACTGAAGGTTTTCATGACTTAAAACCAGGGTTTGGAGGGTAACTTCAAACATGTAATCCATTAAAATGACTAGTTACATGTCAACAAATGTAATCGGTTAAAGAATCTGAGTATCAAAGTAATCTGACTACTTTCTTTTAATTGTGTATTACCACAATATGAAAATGCAATTCAAATAAAAAAAAAAAACAATAAGATGTGTTGCAGGTTACAATTTAACCTCAGAAAGTTAGATATACGTTATGATATAAATGTAGTAAAAGTAATAGATTACTAATGCACTGTTAAAGCTTAACATTAAAATAAAGGAGAATTAAAGTAGCCTAAATATAAAGATAATTAATTCAGTACGTCTACCTATAATATATGGACCTTTATTTTAGAAATGTATTGTAATATATTTTCTTTATAAATGTAATCTGATTATTATTATTTTTAATGTAATTGAATACAGTTACCTTTTTTTGTATCCCGTTTACGTAATCTCGTTACGTGTAATCTCGTTACTTCCCAAGACTGTTTATAATAACGAGATTTTAGTTCTTTATCCAAATTCTGAGAACATTTCACCAGCGGTTAACAGCATCACCGACGCCCGGGATTGAGGCACTGAAACGCCGCAAACGTCGTCATCTTTCTACGGTGAAAACAAGCCAATCCTACACTATGGGTATCCAGGTATAAATAACCCAAAGTGCTCGAAATCAAATCCCAGATACTCTCCATGAGAGCCATCGCAAAAGAATCCAGCCGTTGACCAACTGGTAACCGTTAGCTTGTTAGCTTTGCCATTTAAACCCTGGATGTTTAGCCGTTCATTCTTCTTCTTCTTCTTATTTTGATTTTACAGGCGGTTGGCATCCAGATGTTGCATTACTGCCCACTACTGGATACATAACAAAACGACCCTTTCCAAAAATAACTATTATACCGAACGGAAAATGCTAATAAAGGAAACATAAATAAACATAATAAGCACCTTGTACCTTCGTTTCGATTGTCTTTCTTGCTCAAACCAGCAAACAAAAAGCTACTGCAAAAATGTTTTAGTTTTAGTTTGGCCAGAGGATTCCCCGGAAGTAGTTTCAAAATAAAAGCCCTCGTCTGCTAAACGCATGGCTGTATAAAAGAGAACACACGACATTTAATGATAGATAACGATTTTAAGATATAGTTGTTATTACAACAAAGAGGCCGTAGAGACAGTCTTTAATGCCCTCTTAGAGTCTATATTGATAAGACTAGCGTTGAGGGCTTTCCATAGTTAGGTTTATTTTTGAAAGATATTGACGGTTCAAGCAGAGATGTTCACAAGTCTTTTTTTGCAAGTCCAAGTCAAGTCTTTGGTCACGAGTCCAAGGCTGCTTCTCAGGTCGACTATTTTCATTTCCTCGCTCCTCGGTCCTCGGTCTCACCGGAAGTTGATTTGCCTGCGCCATCTTGAGTACCGTCCCATGACTCTTATTTCTGCCCGGAGGACCGAGCGAGGAGCGATCATGGAGGAGCGATAACCGAGGAACCACCAGACCATCCTCCGATGAAATCCTCAGATACTCACCCCGCCCCCTTACTGTGTATCGCTCACTGATTGGACGAGGCAGTGCATGCACTGATCGATGCTTCTTGACATGAGAGCAGTTTCCCAGCGGAGTGAAGAAAATACATGAACCTCACGGGAGTCACTCCTCAGTTTATACCGTGTTTTGTTTCAATTAATGTATAATTTTGTTACAAATATGTGATATATCTGAACAACAAAGTGGTAAAAAAATCATTTTATTCATTTTTTGGAAATATTTTTCATGGTCGCTTTTTTCGTTTTACATTTTCATTTATTGTCATTTCCATTCAGTCAGTCATTAAGTGCTATTACAATGTGAATATGCTACATATCCAAACAAACAAACAAAGTGTGCAATCCAATGAATGTTAATCTAACTGGGTTTTGATAGATAACATATCTCTTTTTCTTCTCTCAATTATTGTATTTCTATTGTGCACTCTAATCAATATTAATTAAACTAATGTTCGTTTATACATTTTAAGAATGGCGTTTATCTTTTTTGAGAATGAGTTCTTATTTAATTTTATTTATTTGGGTCTACAACAGATGATACAAATGTTTGTGTCAGTAAATGTGTACTAACAGAGGCGGGGGGGTGTGTGGAAATAACGGGGACAGAGCTGCTGTCAGACGATCAGCTGTGCAGCGTCATCACAAACGGACGTCGCTTCACGTGACGCTCCGGAGGAAAGGACGTCCCATTGCTCTTAAAACTAATTTCCCTGCTTCTCGTGGTTTCATTGCGTCCCTCCATGCTTCCCTGGTGGGAGGGACTAGACGCAGGGAAACGACGCAAATGAGGGAAGCAAGGATTTCATTTAATCGACCTGAGAAGCAGCCCAAGTCTTTGTGAGTTGAGACTTGATCAAGTCTCAAGTTGTTGGTCACGAGTCCAAGTCAAGTCTCTAAAAAAGAAAAGTCTCATGTCTCTTCTGGTTGTAATAAGCCTTCTATTGTCTGCTGCTATCCAGTCTGTTAAGAATACTGCACAGCTATATCTAAGAAATTCAAAGCATTTACTGTATTATTATCACTCCTACATCTATTAGCATACAGTATCAGTACTGATTAGTTGTTTGTTATATGATCACTTTAAACAGGCTATTGCAACGCAATATGAGGAAAAACATCACACTTTAGCTAAATGCAAACAACTTATAAGCAAAACACTTCAGAATCAGAAATCAGTATCACAAATACTTTATTAATCCCCCGCAGGGAAACTGTTAAAAGTACTTAAAAGTAAACATTTGTTCTGTGCCATTTGCAACTAAAAAACTATTGCTGCAATATTATCTGAAATATACTGAACTGGTGATATTAAAACATGACCTGTTCCAAAAGAGATATCTACCATTAACACCATTTACCAGCCAAATGCTGGTAAATCATGCAAGTGGCTGGTACTGTATGTTGCACGCACCAGCCACAAATAACAATGGCAATCTATTGAGTGGCTGGTAACATTTCAACATTCACTAGGCTAGCCATTTGGCCAGTGGACAAAAATGTTAAAATGTGACCTCTGCAACCGTATTGTTTAATTACACTGGGTCTCTAATGACATCTTTTAAGTCTACTATAAATAAACATATTCCTCTATCCTCTCACTCAAACCCAGTGTAATGGTAACCTGATAAACCTGTAACATTAACGTTACGTGGTCAACAATAAACCTGTAACCTGCCTATAAACCGACAGATGTATTTATGTATGTAACTATGTATTTTTCTACGTTTAACGTTAGCCAGTAGATGGTGGCAGCGGAACGTAATGATTAACGTTACCGACCTTTTTTATGTCATGTCAAGAGTTGTCAACGCCACTCAACGCAAACAAGTGTGACAAGCAAACATTCACTCATCTTTTCAAATATTCAGTTACAAAGCTAGTAGCAAGCTAAGTTAACATTACATAGCTGATGCTGAGCTAAACATATTTGCTAACCGTCCATATGCGTTAATGTGACTGACCTCTCCGGGTGAGTTTTCAAGTGCCTGGTGGAATTTGACGTTGTTGCACCAGCATCTTTGATTTTAATATTGCAGACTTTGCAGTGTGCGCTCCTTTTGTTGGTGCCGCCGGCGTTTTGTTCAAAGTTTTTATAGTTGAACCTAATTACAAGCGGTACAGCTGCAGGTGTACCGCCGGTCGCCATGGAAGGACGCCCGTCAGACGTTTCAGAGTTTCCTCAATGTTAATACGCCAAAAATAGAAAACAATGATTGTTCACGAGTCCCAAAACACGAGTCTAAGTCGAGTCCGAAGTCTTTTGAGCAGGAGTCCAAGTCAAGTCTGAAGTCTCTGTGTGTGCGACTTAAGTGCGACTCGAGTCCGAGTCACAAACTCGAGTCCCCATCTCTGGGTTCAAGGACTCAAACCCAAAACACGAACAACGTCTCTTAACAACCATATTTACGCTAGATGAGGAGTTCAGCCTTATCAAAACAAGCCGAAAGACACCGTCACCGAGCTGCACAACTTATACCTAGTGATGGCGAGACGAAGCCGTATGAAGCTGTGAAGCTTTCCAACCAATTGGTTCTCAAAAGGGTTCATCTCATGAGGCTTCATCTGAACCCCCCTGTTGGTCAAAGTAGGCAGACATCTCAACAGTCTGATCTTTCTGTGAGTTCCCAAGCAGGTAGCCTACATTAAAGCAAGCAGAAGAAGACAACATCAATGTATCAACACTCAGCCGCAGTCCGGACATGTACCCATGGATGTATAATAAGGGAAGGTAAAATAAATACTTTTTATGAAGTTATTTTCGTGTTGTGTAAATAATGATGTAATGCTTTTGAAAGGCAAAGAATAGTTCAAAAAGAGATGTATGTTTATATGCTGAGCCCAGAGTAAAATGCTTTTGTGTGCACAAACTAGAAGTGAACAGCAAACACCAGTGTGATTTTGGTGACAGTACGACCACCCTGGACAAAGTTATAGTGGGGGTGCCAAATCCGTCAGCACCAACGCCTGGTCTGCCACATGTGGAAGACCCTCTTTAGTTTTTCACCTGCTGAGCCGAGTAAAATGCTTTTGTGTGCACAAACTAGAAGTGAACAGCAAACACCAGTGTGATTTTGGTGAAAGTACGACTCTTGGACAGAGTTATAGTGGGGTGCCAAATCCGGGAGCACCAACACCTGATCTGCCAGATGTGGAACCCCCTCTTTAGTTTCTCACCTGCTCCCCTAGCATGTTTTGGACCTCGGTATTTACGAAATCCTGTGTACGGGCCTGTTTGCAGTAATCAAATTAGTAATCTAAGATACTCATAAAAGCACCTGAAGTATGAAGTGACCGCAGCACTGTTGTGAAGGGGTTTTTGCATGTAACTGTAACCTTTGAGCAAAGCATTAAATCTCCATTATTAATCAATCGAAGCTTTCTACTGATCTGTGAAAACATTACCCATAACCCTAACCCTACCAAACTCGATGTCTCTTCTGATTGAAATACATTCAGCTTCCACTAAAATTACCATAATTTAAGTTGAGAGAATATTATTTGTGTGAAATACAATCCCTGACACACATATTAGAGTTTAGCATACAATCAATACAGGTCTTGCATAAAAGTTTGAATACATAAATGACGGCTTGGTAAATAAGACATCAAGAACCTCATTAAAAAGAGGAGGTTGTTCACTTATCTACATTCACTTTTCAATAAAATACCAACAAAGGTTTTCCTAAAAAGGCAAATGACAACCAAGTTTCTGTCTTACATTCACATATTGGATGTTGTCTTCATCTTCATCAAGTTGATTACAAATAAAAAGTTACTCTTGTTTCAATCGACAATTTACCAGAGCATTGAGGACATTCATTTGAGAATGATATAGAAATATTTTAAGAAAGAGTTGTAATCATTTCAATCAATTACATTTTTACTTCTATCTTCTCCTTATTTGGGAGAAAATAACTTGGAATATTGCAAGGATAAAGTCATAGTAGATAAGATCTTGTCAATAAAAGAAATTAAATAATTGACTTTATTATTATAATATTATCTGAATTTTTATTTCGCAAATGGAAAAAACATCTCAGTGTTGTCTCGGGAGAATTAATTTGTTATTTTCATAAATATATAACTTAATAGTATGACAATAAAGTCAAAATAGATAGAAACTTTTACAAGATTTAAACTATTTTATTATCTTGTCAACTTGACAGGCCTTTCGGGGATATTTCCTATCTTGCACATACGTTTTAATGTTTATGATATCAATAAATTATCTGTTTTTGAATTTTGGGAATAAAAGAAAGTTGATTTCTGTTGCTACTTTTTTGGATGAATTCACACTAAATCTGATTGTTTTATCCTAGAGCTAAGACACATATCCAGACATTAAAACAACCTTAAACTTCACATTTTATATCTCAATAAATAAACCCTGAGTTGTTCTATCGTTAAACATTGTTCCAGTTAAAAACCTCACAGTTTCTCTGAGTTTAAAGAGGGTGGTGCTCCTCTTCCTCAGCTGCGGACTGATGTTGCTGCGCTCTGATTGGACAGCTGGACACCATGTGGTTCAGCCTCTGACAGATGTGGCACCTTTTGGGCTGAGGAGGCAGCTGACACTGTTTGGCATGATGGCCGAGGGCTCCACAGTTATAGCATCTGAAATGAAACAGGACACAGGAAATTAAATGGGTTTTTTTTTTGCCACAAATTCAGATTTGTTAGTTACCTTTTGGTTTTTGTGAAAACCGGTGATGAAAAAAATATTTTGCCATGATAATTTTCAGGAAAAAATGTGTAATAGTTCTGACTATTTTCAGATGTATACTTTTTTTCTCAGAATTCTGACTTTAATTTCAGGACCATCCGAAAAAAACATTTATACAATATTACTTCTGACAGGTATTACATTTGATATCAATCTGTAAAGAAATCTAAAAGCTAAAATAAGTCTGACTGACTCCCATAAGATTCAATTCAATTCAATTCAAAACCTTTATTTATCCAGGTAAAATCCCATTGAGATCAATGATCTCTTTTTCAAGGGAGACCTGCAGCAGTAGGTTCCACAAGAAGACATAAAAACATAAACAACAGAACAACAAAAGGACATCATACAGCAAAATGTGCAGGGATTACAATTTACATATTTAACCACATGTACAGGTACCAACAGCATCTGATTTTGTAGCATCCAACCGAGCTTTAAAAACATGTAGTGGTACTAGCAGCTTTAGTTCCAGCTTCCTGTCTCTCTTTAACAGATCTGTCACCATGCAGCCTCTGGTGCACTTTGAATGTTGAGGGGTAAGATTGATCTCCTCAGTCCCTCAGGGGGAAATATAAAGTACGCTTTGACAACCAAATCTAAAACTGGCTTAGTTTTACACCAATACAAAGTAAAGGGCTCAGCAGAGTGTCTATAGTCCCCCTACTGCCAGTGCTTGAATTGGGCCGGTACTCACCGGTACGCAGTGCCAGCACTTCTGATTTTTACCCATGTGGCACCGGCACTTCTTACTGAGTACCGGCAAGGTGCCGGTACTCAGTAAAATGCCCGCCGCCGCCGGCACGTAGTGACGCATGACAACAAATATGCCCAGTGACTGCACTAAAACATGTTGTGTTTTGTTGGTCCTGCATCTAGAAGATGTGTACTGGTATTAATAAATCAATGCTGCCAAAGCTAATCAGTAGCTAAGTGAAATCCTGTTGGTGAATCCATCATGGTAGCATAATCAGGCGAATGCAGTGTGACACAAGACACTGGCCACTTAAATAGAGGTGAGATTTCAGTTGCTAACAAGTGTCTAAATGAGACGACTAAACGTCATCATGCCCAACATTAGCCACCTTTAGCTTAGCGGTGGTGAGGTTCAGTCATGTGACCCTGCTGTGGTTCCTTTATAGCCCAACATTAGCCGCCTTTAGCTTAGCGGTGGTGACGTGAAGTCATGTGACCACGCTGTAGTTGCTTTATAGCCAAACATTAGCTTTTTACTTCAAAAATCAGGAAGTGGTGTTAATATGTGGAGATTATCCTGCTTAACAAAAAGTGTAAGTATCATAAATGTTTGTTTGACACAGAGGTTAAGTTCTGCAAAAATCCAAAACCCCATGGAGAAATAACATTGGATTTTCAGAGTGTCAGTATCGATCAGCTTGACCCTGAGATGGAGCTCCTTTGTTTCAATACAACTTTGACCTCTGACCCCTGACCTCAGCTCCCTCTCCCCTGCACCTCATTTGCACACCACATCCCATTGTTGCCATGGCTAAAGGGACTTCTAACCCCCCTCTCGAGCACCTTTAAAGGATGGGACTCCTTCCTTTTTCTGAACTCTGCGTTTATGTTTGAAGACATGTGAATGCAATCAGAGCTGCAGAGACTGGCATTATATTTCACGAACTCAAAACAAAATGTATCATTAGTGGGCTGTAGAGGAGATGGTAAGTGGCCAAAGTTTGCAAAATCTTGAACATTACTAGTGCTAAGTGTGAAGGTCGTACGTCCTCATTCAGTCTCACCTGTCCCCTCTGGATCCCCGGCTCCTCTTCGGCCTCCTCTCGCTGCCCAGACACGGGGCTCCATTTGGGCCGGTGACCCGCACCGACTCCAGACCTCTGGAGGATTTCTTGAAGGTGAAATCAACAGCTTCTCCTTCTCTGAGGCTGCGGAAACCCTCCATGTGCAGTTTGCTCTGTTAACGAGAGGGTCAGGACTGCTTTTTATGGGCGTTTTGGCAAATTCATATCACATTTTCCCAGCAAACAAATCCATGCAACAAACAATAAAAGCAGTGTTTGTGTTCAGCTGCAAGCTAACCAGCATTAATGGCCATCATGTTGGTTATAATACATATTTGCTGACCAATGTGACCTCAGCTCTGAAGACTGCACTTAAAATTAAGAGGAAAATAAGCTAACAGAAAATGCTCAGTTTTTGTTTGACACACAGGCTACAAGCTCACGCACACTGTTTTATGAACATATAGGTTCACCTCCTGAATTAAAAACAGAACAAATGAACCAAAGAAAGTGAATACCATAAAGCAGATTCAGGCAGTAGACCAGGGGTGGCCAACCAGTCAGAGGTTAAGAGCCACATTTTTTCTATGTTACTGCAAAGAGCCACATCAAACACATAGTCACTGATACCGCTTGTTTCCGTTTTTTTGTTTTCTGGAGACAAGATTTCAACCACGTCACTGATGCATCTTTGTGGCATTGGGATATATTTTTTTTAAATCCTCTGGAGCAGAGAGAGGAGCTGTGGATTATTGTTATTGATTAATGCATCAGTGTTTCTTAGGGTCAAAAACACTAAACTCACAACTTAAAATGAAAGCGTTTAGTTTATTTAATAAAAGAGCACATGTTCAATGTGAAAGTGACAGTAGTTATAGATTATTTGCAATTTGGTGCTATATATATATATTTTAAAAAAAAATTATATATATTTTTTAAACACCTTGAATTTCAGGGGGGGGCGCGGGGCTCCGTTGGCGGGGCGCAGCGCCCCTCCAAAACAATGGTAGGGGAAACACTGGATATTGTTTAATCAACGATAGGTTCCCCCCCCTCAAAGGTGATTGGTTCATTGCATCACAGGTATTATTTTGATTGGCTCTTGAGCCACATCAAAATTAGACGCGCTGTCATCCTCTCATACTGACTCCTGACACCACACATACACACCGGGAGCCGGGACGAAAGTAACACGCGACGAAAGTAACGGAGCGATTTTATCCGAGCCCAAACAACTTTGACCGGCCAAATTATGTTAATACTTAACAGACCTACTAAATATCAGGTTTAACTGGCAGGAGTAGCTAGTGTTGTCACGATACCAACATTTTGGTTTCGATACCAAGTCAAGAATTGCGATTCTGATTCTTTTTTGATACTTTTCTTAAAAAAAGGGAAACAGTCTTAAATGTAATTATTGTGGTTTATTTCACACCAGAACCATAACACAAACTTTTAAACAATGATAACAATAAATAAAATAAATGACAAGATTTCCTATTAAATAAAATTAATTAATGAATACATTTCTCACAGACAGGCCTCGTGGTGTCCGTAGGCTTGCCCTCACTGTCAGAGATATAGCTCAAATACTTCCAAATTTCAACAAGCCGAGGGGCAGCGGCAGTTGCACTCCCACTTGCAGCCATGCTTCTCGTTTTCTCACATGCTCTGGCAGCTAGCGCGTGCACGAGAGAGGGGAGGCACTTGAGCGTGCTTGAGAGGGGCGGGACTGCAGGCACGGCTGCAGTGCAGGGAGTGGAAGCAGAGCGCTGAACACACACGGCTCTTATTAAAACGGCGCTTTCTCACCGGAGTACTTTCCCCGTCATTCTTAAAGTACCGATACTAATTAAACGGAGGAATCGTAACGTTTTTAACGGCAGGGTATCGCGGTACCTTTCAAGTATCGGTACACCGTGCAACACTAGTCAGGAGTCAGTGTCTCTCCCCCAAACTCACACATATACAATTCGATATGAACTGAAGAGCCGCATGAAACTAGGCAAAGAGCCGCATGCGGCTCGAGAGCCGCGGGTTGGCCACCCCTGCAGTAGACGTATTGATTCACACATAAAGTATTAGCCTACAGAACAGTTAAGCTTACAGAGAAGAGATAGAATCTGATCCAGACAAAATGTGAGACAGAGGATTTTGGAAAAAGTTGACATTTTAAAAATATTTGTATTTCGAAAAGAAATTGTGGAAAAATATCAGAATTAGAGAAAAAGTGAGAATTTGGAAATAAAAGTAAAAATTTGATGAAATCTGAAATCTATAAAAATCTGAAAAAACTGAACATTTTGAAAACAAGTGAGAATTTTGAAGTATTTTGATAATCTCTGAAATCTGAAAAAAGCTATAGTTTTGAAAAATAAATTCAGAATTTGAGAAAAAAGTCAGAATTTTGGAAAGAAGGTGATAAGTGCCAAATGTGAAAAGCCAGTGCATAAGAACTTCTACTGCAGTACAGGATCTGAATACTGCACCTGATGCACGAACACGTCCTGCTGCGGGACCCCGTCCCGGCGGCTCATGGCCAGGAAGCCGAACCCCAACCTCACATTGAACCACTTGCAGACGCCGCTGCCCAAATCCACTTCCTGTTTCTCCTCTTTATCGCCACATCCACTTCCTGCTGCACGAGAAGCAGGGAGAGGGGAGATGAGTCAAATTATTTAGAGTTTAATAAGTCGACATGTTTTATCACAACACACACACACAGACACAGATTGACAAGCATGTGCACTTAATAATTGTGCAGTAATAAGTCAATAAGATCATTTATTTCGAAACAAACACACAGCCACACACTCACACACTAAATTAAGCGAGAGAGAGAATGTGTGTGTGTGTGTGTGTGTGTGTGTGTGTGTGTGTGTGTGTGTGTGTGTGTGTGTGTGTGTGTGTGTGTGTGTGTGTGTGTGTGTGTGAGGGATGTCAGATCACCTTTCACCTTTCCTCCAGAGGGACATCAATCAATACATCTGATCAATAGTAAATCAAAAAGATGCCATGTTGTGACAGATCTCCTCCTCCTCCTCACACACACACACACACACACACACACACACACACACACACACACACACACACACACACACACACACACACACACACACACACACACACACACACACACACATACACACGCAACAAGCCTCCAGGTGGCAAATGACAAACTGAAGATGTTTTATCTGTTAAAGAACAATAACAAGATTTGGGGGGTTGTTTAACAAAGCTGCACATTTACCTGTTGCTATTAAAAATATGTATGTCCTAAATAAATGTCATGCATATGATTCAGTATATTAAAAAAAATGAGTTAGTGTTGCATGACGTAGTGTAAAACTCTCTTAAAATATTGACCATTAACCTCCAACCAATTAAAAGCATGCAAATAATACATGCACTATGTTCCCTCTCCCACTAGATGTCACCTTAAGCCTTTACTCTCTGAAAACACCCCAATACTACACTTCCATAACAACACTGCACATATTTTTATTTTATTTGATTATTTCAAGTACTTTGCAACGGTATACTGCACGTAGTTCTTTAGTATTTCCAAATTTCATGTAAATAATCTTCTATATCTTAACGTAGATACCATTTTATTTTTTGGTTGTTTTTTCGTACTTTTTATCGTCTTTAGGAATGTGTCTTGGTGGTACGTACATAAACACATTATGCACGTACCACCAAGACAAATTCCTCGTATGTTAAGACCTACTGTCAGGGGCGGATCTACGGGGGGCAAGGGGGGGCAGCTGCCCCCCCCACTGTAGACCCTTGCCCCCCCAGCTGCCCCCTAACTTTTGTTTCCCTAAAACTGTACTAAAACAAACCTACACTATTTCCACAAGCTTCTCAAGCAACAAAACAAGCATTACATTAGTTAAAATTGAATCATTTTAAATATCATTTTAGGCCCGTTAAAAACGCAGCTACGGCCCTGCATTAAACTGCGGAGCGGCGTTCACACAGACCGCGGCTCACACCGCAGCAGAGAGGGAGCGAGCTGTCCCAGCACCTATGGATCAGCTTCCCCTTGGAGCATTTCCCTTTCCACTAGTTTTGTTTTTACTAAGGACGAGAGCTTGAAACAAAATATTAATAAAACGCTGCCGTTTGAATCGATAGCGTTTAACAGACGGGCGCTGTTTGGGGCGTTACGTTACAAAATACTACGCAGACAGCGTTAGCTGGGAGATCGATCACTTTGCTAAACTACGCGGTAGCCTACTATTAAATCCACGTAAACTACACATCACAGCCATGAGGCCAGATCAATGAAACCAGGATACATCCTTTACTGTAAAAACTGGATCCAAACACAGCTGCCTGTGTGCGCTTGATCAATACTTTCTGATGTTATATTTATGATATGCTACACATTAGCTAGGCTACATGGCCCTAACGTGTAAAGTTATACAAGCATTTGTACCAGTGCTTTTCACAAGTAGACTCTTGCAGGCCAGAGTATTGGAGTGATTCAACAACAACAAAAAGACATATGAGAAGTGATCAGGACGAACAGAAAGAGGAAAAGGAAAAGAGAGCTCAAGAGACCAGGAGGGTCAGAGCAGGAGGAAGAGGAGGAGATGAAGACATTAGTGAAGAAGAAGAAGTGTATGTGAGGAATAAAGATGAAGTATCAGAAAGAGGGCCAGAGGCAGGGATCAGGAGGCAGATGAAACTCCAGCTGGACCACATGGTATGTTCTTATTCTCCTTACATATTCCATTACAGCAGCTCAATCTAGCAGCTCTTAGTATTGACAAATATTGATTGAAATGTGTTGCTGCACAGGTCACCTGTAGCTCTCTGAAGAGATGGGTGATGTCATTTGTGTACTTAATTATAATTAAGTACTTACAGTATGCATAATTCTGAGTATTCTCTGAATCGGGTGCCTTTTGGGTCTTTATATCTTTGAAAAATGAAACCAAAATGTTTGGTCATAACATCTGGTAGTGGACTACTTACATTTTCCCACCTCAGGCACAACATATAAATAATTACTAGGAATTTCCTTGAAAAAATTGAACAGGGTTGAAGTTTTTGACAAAAAGTAGGCATGAGACCTTGTTTAGCTAAGATATGGCACCACATGGAAATCAAGGACATTACAAAATTGTAATATTTTGCAAAACTATTGTTTATTTTTGTAATAAACAATTATTTACCATTATTAATTCATACAACATAGTTGAAATGTTGAGCTTGTCAATCTTAATCTGAAAATACAAAAACTGAAATATAGGTAAGAGAAGAAACTGACACTTTTGTGATGTAATTCCCTCAATGCAGATCACACATGGACTGATCCATTATTTTAATAGGAGGGTAAATGGTATGGCGTGACGGGGTTGAAACAAACTGAGGGACAATATTGCAATTTCATAGATAATTCAAGTATTTTTTCAGAATTGATTTTTTGACAAGCATATGATTATATTAGCAGCAACATTTTTGCGATAATTGGCCATTTTGATTTGTTTAATATTAAATTAGTATGTAATAATGCTTAGTGAGGACATGCAAATATGTCTGTCTAAGACAACCAATTTTTTTTAAAACAAAATATATATTTTATTTTACATTGTAATGCAAAACAACCTGTTCCATTCATTCATTGCTTTAAAATACATTTTGTAGTTTCCTTTCATTTAAAATGGTTGAGGTAAGCTTGGGGGACTCAAAGGGCACCCGATTGTTTGTCTGAACACCTTGTTTCTCTTGTGCATTAAGAACACTTGTGTTAGGGCATGAATTAACAATGAATAGGTTATATACAGTATAAAATACCACGTACTGTCCGCCCTCCTATGGCACCCTGGCATGACCTCTTGCCTCCCCTTTGCCCCCCCATGTAAAATGTTCTAGAACCGCCACTGCCTACTGTACTTGGCAATAAACCTGTTTCTGATTCTGAATAATGTCACACTGACTCGTGCACAAAAACCATGGTTACGATTGAATTTGGACATAAAAAACCCCACATTCAATATACAGTATACGTTTGTTTTAAATTGTGCAACACTGGGATTTGTTTCCTTGCTACATTTTACAGATGATTGATTTTTATTGAGGATAAATCATATATATTTAATTTAAGATTTACTAAGAGTGTTTCAATGGTTTCAATACACATAATGTACGGAAGAGGATTGGTGCCACATGTGATTAAAAAAATGGAGATCTTCAATGCAAAATAATTGCATTTATTGTCTATATTTAAGTCAGAATAATCATTTTTTTAAATCACATGTTTCCCTAATCCTCTCCCTAAGTGTGATTGCTTCTATACATGACAACACAGAAATGATTCTTCATAAATCTGAGCTAAGGCTCCACCTCCTGCCTCTCTTCTGGCACTAATCACCCCTCATACATGCATTTCCGGTTGGGGGTTAATCCCACCCCCTCCTCCTGCACAAACAAATGTTTCATTCTCTCCTGAAGCGTCAGTATCCAGCAAAAAGAAAATAAAACCTTTCTGTGCTGCTAGGATGGATTTAGGAAGCAGATGTGACCCCTGGACATATGAGGATTGGATGACCGGAAGAGGAGCATTGCACGGGTAAACTAAACATATTAAAGCTCCTGTAGAGACATGAGGGAACAGCTGACAGGTGACATAGATGTTGGAGGAAAAGATGGAGGGGAATAAAAGGCGAAGTGCGCAGCGCGGATATGCGGAGGAGCGGATTTATTATTTGTATTTCACTGCAGGATGGAGGTGAAATAACATGCATGTTTTACAGTCCCCGTCGCACTGAATCAACGCGTTTTATTTCCTGCTGTAAAACGAAGAGAGGAGCGCTTGTTTTACTGTCTGCAGCAGCCTGATCCTGCAGAGTATCTCGGGGATGATGGAAGTGAAAGAATACTCGTGTTTTACAGTCTCCATTACGCTCCAGCTGCACTGACTGATTTCATCTCGCCAGTTGAAAAAATCAAAAAAGGAGCGCTTGTTTTCCTGTCTTCAGCACCAGGGACAGCGACCATGTGTGCAGAGGGGGGGTTTACTGAAGCCTGAGATCTCCGGGTGGAGGGGAAATAACATGCATGTTTCACAGTCTCCATTGCACTGACTGAAAGACGACCAGAGGAGCGCTTGTTTTCGGTCTTCAGCACCGCGGACAGCCACCATGACGCGGCTCCGCAGGAAGGCTTTAGTTTCTCTCTTCCTCTTCACCCTCTTCATCTTCGGGGCCATGATGGGGCTCCGGAGCCTGAAGCCCAGCGACGGCTTCTCAGACCTGGCCCCGGGAATGGGCTTCATCCGGGAGAGAGAGAGGGACCGGAGGCGGCTGGATGCAGAGGTGGGGAGTAACTAAGTACCTTTAGTCAAGTACTTAAGTAAAATGTGTATTGTACTTGTACTTTATTGGAGTATTTTAATGTTATGTTACTTGTCTACTCCACTACACGACCGAGATAAGTCACAGAGATACATGTTGTTCTTTTGCTCCACTACATGTATTTAATCCCTTTAGTTACTTCACAGATCTGGATGAATGATGTGAAATATAATCAAGTGTTGAATCAGACTTTAGTTCCACCTGGAGTAAATTCACAAGCTACCCTGCAGTAAACAAAGTCATTCAAACTAGCTGCACCTTTACCAGCTTTGAGAACACTTTAATGATCAATCATTATAAAACATATCATATATATTATTCTGAAATGGACCAATCTGCACAATGACTACTTTTACTGTCGCTACTCTAACTA